GTGTGGTGATGGGTTGTAATTAGTATTTTGGTGGTGAACATGATGTAATCTATGCAGAAATAGAAGTACAATGATGTACACCTGAAATTTTTACGTTATAAACCAATGTTACTGCAATAAACAAAAAATTAAATAAATAAATAAATAAATAAAAAACAAAAAACAAAAAACAAAAAAAAAAAAGAAAATGATGAATCAAACCAAGGCAGACAATTATTTGTTCTTATTTGTACATCAGTCACTCCAATCCCAAATTTAGCACTGTCACTCATTCTGTCAACTAAATGTTTCATCTTTCTTCTAAAATATGAACACCCACTCTAAGACTTGGGAACTGTTTCATGAATAGATTGAGGGTTAGTTGGAAGCTGGATAATGTTAACCACACCCAGGAGGATAGGAATAAACATGAAATCCCAAAAGAATGTTTCCACATACGTCTAGGAGTGCATGAAGCCCAAAGGAAGAGCATAAGCTGCTAGGAAGCCAGCGACCTTGTAAGATGTCACCCACCAGAGGTGACTTATGATGGCCAGGGAACCTCACATCTGGAGTGCTTGATGACACAGCCATGTTGTTTGCACACCCAACTGCTAGGTTTCTTTTAGTGCTGGGAGCCTGGCCAGGAAGCATAGGGGAATCAGGAGGTCTAGAAAACTGCTTTGATGACATCTGCAAAGATTTGCCCCCAGGAATGCCATGGCTTCTGAAAGCTCGAGAACTGTGAACTACTTCTGAATAGGGAGGACAGGCCAGGAAACTTAGTGATGAGGACAGATAGTAACTAGGTAACAATGAGGTCAAAGTGGTTAAGTTCAAATCAGAACATGCTGGGTACAGGCTGAGGAGGGAAGTGGAAATTGCTCCAGGCTTTTTCCCCCTTTCTGGTACATTTGTGCATGAGGGAGCTGCATAGGGGAAAGAAGGAGTTCTGGGATGCTTTGCAAAGAATCACGGTCTTCTCCAACGGGATCTGTACGTGTCCCTCTTCTAAACTCATGCTTGGGGCTAGGAACACTGAGAGCCATGTGGTAATGCATCAAAGAGAGGTCATTTAGCGATGCAGCACATCTTAGAGGAGTCGAGGTACTTGTAACGGTGCATGAATTCAGGCCCCTCGTGCCCAGGTCCACACAAGTCTCTAAAGGCCCTCCTTACTTGTAGTAATGGACAACTTGGGGCTTGTCACTTTTGAGATGTTGGGAGAAGACACACAAATGACCTTAGATCCTAACTCTCGAGTTGGGCTACATCCTCGGGAGCAAGATGGCTTTGGAGATCTCACTGTGGTCCTTGAGGCTTCCCGAGGCTCCAGTTGTTCTTCAAGACCAAGTCTAACAGGACAAGCGGATCCATCTTTCTTCCATGAGTGATGCTCAAACAGGAGTCCTGATCTCGAATCATTAATTTCTGCAGATGCTACTGGTATTAGCTTAGTAGAGGCTAGTTTTTCAGCTTTCTGAATACCTGCCATGATCAGGAGCTGTGTCTGGCTTAACTGACGGTTTCAATTTGGCATGGCTAGAAAATGATTTAGCAGTGGAGGAAGGTGGCACATCTCTGCCAGCCAGGACGCATGTTAGCTGCTGTTTAACAGCATAGAGATTCTGCTTAGCTGGAAGAACAGGTGGGTTATTAAGGGGCTGATGCTGTACCTGGGAGTAGGATCACAAATTTGAATGATTGATCTAAGAGAAAGAGGCAGCTGTTACAGACATAGGTAAATACAAATCATTTACACACTCTAAGGGAAAGTGATCAAAAACATTCTTTACATCGAATAGCATGATTTTCTCTACAGATTTAGTTTTTCAAGTTTTAAAAGAAAAAGTTATTATTTTTGTAAAAACAGTACATGATCATTATAAAAGATTTAAACCATATGTAAAAGTACACAAAAGTTTAAAGAAAAAACCCTGCAGTTTTTACTTTCCATAAACAACCATCATTAACAGTAGGACAACATCATTTCAAGCATTTTCTTTACATACGTAAGATAGAATGAAAAAATAAAAAAATATTTTTATAAAAATAGGATCTTAGGTAAGAAATCTGGTTCTGGTAAAACTGTAGTCTAGATAACTTGAAATAAGCTCTAGCTATAAATACCTGAAGATACTAGAACAAAATACAAAAAAACACAAACATCCTTTTAAATGACTAGCTATGCTCACAAGAAAATAAAGGAATCAGTAGGTGCCACAAATAACGACAGAACTAAAAACCAGGGTGTTACACACATGAGCTGACACAGTGACTCCTGGAAGGGTTGTTGATTTTGGCTGGAGTTATTACTGTGATTGTTTGCTTTATCCATTTGGTTATCGCCCTTTTTTCCTACCATGCAGTTTTTAATTAGATTTTTAAAATAGCTCATCACAGAGACAAGTTTCTGAAAATCCTTCATTAGTCTAATAGTTGAGCAAATGAAGGACTATTACTTTGGAAGTATTTGCGAAAGAAATACAAATGACCTCTGACCCTGGAAGTGAATACCACAACCACAAGTGTGAGGCCAACTATGTATCCACTGGTACCACAAAAGAACAAGGGAGTGTTAGCAACAATGCTAATGATCAGTTTCAAGGTCTAGGTATGGAGAGGAAATGATTCTACCTAGAATTCCTTAAATCCTAAATCATATTCTTCCATGGAAAAGTCACTAAAAATCCTCATGCCACAAACTTCACTGGACTTCTATAAGGAAAAGGATTTTTCTATTTCCTGTTGCTTACAAAAGTGCACTGCATCCATGAAGATACAGGGAAAAAAAAAAAAAAAAAAAACCAACCCACAAATGGATTAAGGTACCTTGCCAAAAGCAAAGCATGTGCATCTTATGATGAACTGATTTTAAACTTGGTAGCACTAGTTTAACTCGCTGCTTCTACGGGATGAACTCCTGAGAGCCAATCGCCTGGCCCACAGGGCATGGCTGCACTTGCTTGCTTACTTACCTCCTTGGCCCACGCTGGTTTCTCACTGGGACTCATCCCTTCTTTGTAATGGTACAGTGGCTTCTTCTCCACAGGCCTCTGTTCCTGCCGCTGATGCTGAAGGGAAACCAAGTAGTCTCTCTCTTGCTTTAGCTGTCTCTGTAGTCTTTCTGCTTGTCTCTGTTCTTCCAATTGTTTGCGCTTATATTCCTGTCCAGATCAGGAAAGAAGAGCAAAGAAAAGCCCAAATCACCACACAGAAACCACTGGCCACTACCAGTAAAGCATGCAATGGAGCCGAAGGAGATGATCTCAAAGGGCCTTAATGCGAACAGAACCACAGGAGAATGTCAGGATGTGCCATAGAGGTAAGCTACAGCCTCAGGTTAGCATCTACACAGAATGTGGCATTTAATGAAAACACTACTGCTTTAATGGCAGTCCCTACAGAACACCACCCATTGCAAAGTGACTTGTCCCTGATGAATTGCAACCAAGAGAGTGGCAATAATGAGGACATTTGGATGGTCAGCACACAACCCCTGTCAGGAGCCATCCACGTCCTGATTGAGTAATTAACCATTCAAACATGTACAGTTAGGTACAAAACTAAATTAGTAGCTAAAGACATTGCCTAAATCATCTTTTGTTTAACAAAATTTGGACCAACAAAGGCCATTAGCAAGCTTATGTACAGGCTAAAAAAGTATCATAGTGCCACTGAATAAAAAGTTCAGTTAAAAAAAACATACACCAAGAAGCTCATTTCGAGAGCAGTGTAAGAGTAATAAAAAAGTACTTCAAGTGGAAGCTGCGTGAGCAGGGAACACAAAATGTTCCCATCGTAAGGGTAAAACTAATAGCTTGCAAATGAAATATGACTGCAGAGCTGAGTGGGTTCTTATGGAAGAGATGCATTTGGCTATGATTGTGTTCCAGCATGTTGCAAAGGACCTCAAAAATTACTCTGCAATAAACACAGTGGGTCTCAAAAACAGTCTGAACGGGCCGGCTCCGTGGCTTAGCGGTTGGGTGCGCGCGCTCTGATGCTGGCGGCCCGGGTTCGGATCCCGGGAGCGCCCGGAGGCACCACTTCTCCGTCCAACGTGAGGCCGAGTCCCACGTACAGCAACTAGAAGGATGTGAACCTATGACATACAGCTATCTACTGGGGCTTTGGGGGGAAAAAAACTGAATAAAAAAAAAAAAAAAAAAAAAAAAAAAAAAAAAAAAAACAGTCTGAACTTATAATAAGGCTGGATTCATGTTAAAGTTTCACAAGTAAATGGAGTTAATAAAGAATGCATAACCAGTGTCTTAAATGTATTAAGACTCAGCAAACTGGGTCAGGAAATGTATTAAGTTTCTATGGGATTTTAGAGGTCAATGAGGCTTGGAGGATCCCCTCTTCTGGACGGGCACATTAGGAGGTCTCACACACACACACACACACACACACACGATGAACACAGAGCAGGTCAGCTGGCTCGTGGCTTTCCCATTACCAGAAGTAGAGCTTGTTCATGCAGTAGCTGCTGCTGCAAGATCTCTAACTGTCTCTGCTCCTCCTCTAACTGTCGCCTGATGTACTCCTGGAGAGGTAGGCAGCAGAGAATTCAGAGGAAAACAAAGAGAGAAAGAGAAAGAAAAAGAACCGGTAATTTCAAAGGTGACAAGAGCTGTCAAGTAAAGTGTGCAAGGAAGGAGGGAAAAAACACCCAGACACCTCCTCACAAAACAGGAAAAGTATGCCACACCGAAGCCAAAGCATTTCAATGCAGTCAAAAGCACAAGCCCTCTAGCTGCAACAGCTGACTGAGATGGCCCAGTGCTTTGCTGTTACTATTTGGTTTTAATAAACCCAGCTACATTTTAAAGCTGTTCATTACAGGTTCCCTCTGTATCGGCTACTCAGAATTAACAATGCTATAAAGTTCAGAGGCTCCTGTGCAAGCAGCAGGGATAAAATAATTGTTGAATGCCATCATGCACAGTCTTTGTAACGGAACCATCCTGCAGAGTTTCACTGTGCTGTCAGAATGTGATCCTAACAAAGAGAGAGAGGGGCCTGCATCAACAGCTCAAAGTCATGGGGACCAGAGATGGCATGAGTAGAAAAGCTCTTCTGAAGCAATGAAAGAGAAGGACTCGTTTATCATGCTTCAATGCTACCTTAAAAGTAGATACCCAGGGCTGGGAGAATCAGAAGATCAAGGTAAGCCAGGGGACTCTGGCCTGGGTAGGGAGCAAGGTTGAATGAGTGGGCATTGCCAAGGTTGTGCATTTGACCTCTTGAATAGGTGAGAATAGCTGCTTGAGAAAAAGTAAAAACCTGCTTAAACTGAGCAGTCCTAAGAGAAGGTGACCCACACCCCAGAGACGCTGGTGCTGGAGTTCACACCGGGACCACCTGTGGGGCTCCCTGGTCCCAGCTGTACCTGCTCATGCTCCGCGCGCCTCCTCTCCTCCTCCCGGCGCATCTGCTCCTCGTAGTGCCGGCGCTGCTCCCGCTCCTGCTGCTTCCGCAGCTCCTTCTCTCTCCTTTGTTGCTGTGGGGCAACAAGCAGACAACCATGAAGGAACAGAGTCTGGTGGGGGGTGTCGGGAAATCAGCAGGGAGAGCTGCAGAACCGCGGACTTGAGGTCTTAACAGAGATGCCCACAGAGAGCCCGAAGGCTCTTTCTCTCCTGTGCTATTGGGAGACACACTGGGGAGGACGGGGTGATAGACAGCAATTTAGTGTCATAAAGAACAACCTTCCATTTACCATGCAAGTAGACTCTCCAGGTTTATACATCTCCCAAGAAGTTTCCATTAAGTGTATTCTCCCAATTGGCTGATGGGGGTTTTCAAATCAGGAGTAGGAAACACTAGTGTATAATAAGTAACTTATTATTTATCATCAAACTGTTTATGAGATTCTATAGGTTTTAAAGCACATTCACAATGCTCATGTCATTCAATCTTTTTGACACCACATAGGGCAAACATTTGGTAGATAGAAAAGGCAAAAACCAGAGAAGTGAAGTGACGTATTCAAGGCCATACAGTAATTAATGGCTGAGGGTGCAACAGAATTTACTGACTCCCACCCAGTCCACTACCCTTTCTGATACACCATGCTGCTGTTATTTTCTGGAGTATTCAATTTAAGCGTCAGTTTCAACTTCTTGCTCAAGTAGACCCTTAGGCTCAGGAACCATCATCATCATCTCATACAATTACTATGTTTCTGACGCTGGACAGTGTGGTAAGCACCTTTCATGCTTTACCTCATTTAATCTTCACAAAAATGTTCTGAGGTAGATATTATTATTACCCCCATTTTATTTATTTATTTATTTATGGTGAGGAAGATTAGCCCTAAGCTAACATCTGTTGCCAATCCTCCTCTTTTCACTGAGGAAGATTGGCCCTGGGCTAACATCTGTGCCCATCTTCCTCTACTTTACATGTAGGATGCCTGCCACAGCATGGCTTGATAAGTGGTGCGCAGGTCCACGCCCAGGATCTAAACCTGCGTACCCCAGGCTGCCGAAGCAGAGCACACGAAGTTAACCACTACGCCACCGGGCCAGCCCCTATTATCCCCCATTTTATATGAGAAAACTGAGGCACAGAGAGATTAACTAATTGTTCAAGGTCATGCCCACATTCAAGGTCAAACCCAGTAAGTGGCAGAGCTTGATTTCAAAGCCAAGCAATGTGACTCCAATCTGAGCTCAATCATTACAGAGGATGAAGAGGTGACAGGAGTGACAGAAAGATCACAAATTAGTCTGGCTCTTCACTATACCCTCAGGAAAGGAGAATATGTTAGGAGCAGTTACAGGAGTGAATGTTTCTCAAGTAGGGATAGTGCCGTTCCCAATCCCTGGAGCACGTGGAATATGTGGGGGCATGTGGGAGCTCTTCCAGTTGTCCCAATGATGGGGGGACAGGACTGGCATTTAGCCCGGGGGGCCAGGGAAGCTAAACATCCTGCAATGCTCAGGATACTCATACACTACGAAGTATTTTCCCATACCACCTGCTAGTAGTGCCCCTTTTGAGAAATGTCGCAGGCCCTTTGTGTCTGAGCCTGGTACTGGCATTGGGATTTCTTCTTCCTCAAATACGAGATTTGGAGGGGACATATCAGGGGGTCCATTCCCTTGTAATATTCTCAATAACACTTCACTGCCTGGCTGAGGAAACATGAGTTACTCAAAAGAGAATGGATTGAGACTGTATCACACTGACAAGCTAGCTCTACACAACCAGGGAAACAGCTTTCTAGTACAAAAGCTCTCTGTCACAGCCCCAGCTAAACCAACCACAGACATTCAAACTCCAAAGAAGCCTATGAATGAGGAGGCCTTCCTGACGTGCCTCCTGCTCACAATCCTCGGATCTGCTGTCTTCCAATAACCTCTGAACCCTGGGAGATAAGCTGCATCTTTTGAGCCTCAACATCTATCACTTCTAGATCAACAGTTATTTGTCCGCCTTAGATTGTAGGCGATGGGGAGCCACTGGAGGACTGTCTGCAGTCAAATATCATGACCACATTTGCATTTTCAAGACGCCTCCTAACAGCCATGGCAGGAGGCAAGACGAGAAGCTGAAACACAGTGTGAGGCCATTCTATGGATCCGGGCAGAAAATGACAGAGCATCGATGAGTGAAGCAAAGGCAGTTGGAGAGTCCATATTCATAATCCCTGGTAAGGATGGAGACGCAGCCAAAAGGAAGAAAGACTAAAAACTATTCAGATTTCTAGTCATTCGAACAGGACTGGAGTGGACGCCAACTTACAAGTAGAAATTAGAATTAGGCCAGATAAAATTGGCAAAATTTGGTGACTATCGGGTTTGTGGGGGTGAGTGAAGTTCTAGGCCAAGGAGCATGGCAGATGGTACAAGACAGCGGCAGAAAAGCAGGTTTAGGGAAGGGAACGAGGGGTGTTGACAGATACGGGCAAGTTAAGTTCCAGACATGCAATTATTTGTTTTACAGAAAAATAATACAGGAAGAAGTGAGTAGCAAACATCATGGGAACCGACTAAATAATTTGGATTACAAAACCAAAACAGAGAGATTTCTAACATTCAACCAACATGAATCAAGGCCAGCACACAGAATAAAAGAATTATGTGTACAGATCTGGCTCCTGGCAGGAAATAGCCCTAATTTAGCTAACATTTCAAACTTTTACTCCCACCATTGGTCTCTTTCTTCAGAAAAAAAAAAATAATCAAAGCTTTTGGAGACTTAGCTGATTTTTATGTGAAAAATTTGTACATTTTCAACCCCTTTGCCAGGAATCAATGCTGTTTTATAATTACATGCCACTCAGGTCCCTGAGCAAGGTGTACACAGTATTGATTGCAACTCAAGAGGTTCTGGGCTTCCCAAGTACTCTGTAGTTTCTGAGAAAGACACTCAAAAGTGACTAATAATTAATAATGATCTCAACTCAGATAAGCTGCCAGTAACTCATGGAGGCATCTGCCAGGGCTTTGGTTCCTGTGGTGAGGTTGGAAAAATAAGTCACTTCCCCAACCTTCTGAGGGCACCTTGCCAATTTCCAGCTGCTATGTCTCAATGTTAATGCCTTTCCCAGAAAAATGTTTGCTCTCTCTCCTCCTGGGTGTGGGGCTATTTGAGGGGCCATATCAAAACATGTCAGAGAAAGACCATGTCCCTGGCTTCAAGCGCACACCTTTACAAAGCTCTGATGACTCTTGCTGGAAGCAGCTCTTTGAAAGCAAGGCCTGTGCTTGAGTCCCGCTGGACCCGCAGACCCTCACGTGGGGCCTGATACCTGGCAGGTGCAAAGACTTTTTGAACTGAACTGAACAAGAAACTTGGGGCAAAAGAAGAGAATACAGTATCCTCTTAAATTTCTTTGGGGGCATTTCCCTCCCATCAATGCTTATAGTTTATATCACACTGTACCTGGTATTATGGTTATCTGAGTATGTCTTACCTACTCTGCAATCTAGGCTGAAAGCTATTTGTGGGCACGGTCTCTGTTCCACTCCAGTTTTTATCTCCCACTATCTTCTTTTTTTTTTTTTTTTTTAAAGATTTTATTTATTTAATTTTTTCCCCCCAAAGCCCCAGTAGATAGTTGTATGTCACAGCTGCACATCCTTCTAGTTGCTGTATGTGGGACTCGGCCTCAGGATGGACGGAGAAGTGGTGCCTTGATGCGCACCCGGGATCCGAACCCGGGCCACCAGCATTGCAGCGCGCGCACTTAACCACCAAGCCACAGGGCCGGCCCCCACTATCTTCTACATAGGGCCTGATCCCACTGATATTTGTTGCACTTAATACCGTAAATTGTGAAGCAAGAGAAGAGGAGAAAGCCTGGTAGAGCCTCAGACCACCCCTCACCCTTCTATGCCCTTCTCAGACAGCCCTTCCAGGCCAGAATATTCTTTTATGCTGAGCATAGACAAGGACTGAGAATGTTTTTCTAAACAGAGCCACCTATGGTGGGCACTGGCATAGTACCTATTTGCCATCTTAGAGAAAGGCAGGAAAATAAAATAAGGGAATGAGTCTAAGCTGGAAGGAGTAGAAAAGGGCAGAATGAAACAGTATTTCTAAATTTCATTCAAATTATGCATCAAGATCACAGTGGTTTTGCTGTCAAAAAAGAATGGCTTAAACCAACCACTTTGAAACTCTTGGCAGATGCCCCACCTATATTGAACTGCCTAGAAA